TTCGTCATGTATGTGAATGAAACGTTTATTTTTGTTAATTTATTTTATCAATTACAACTCAATTTTTATTCAGTTACAAACAAAAGCCTTCAAAGTTTTCAATATTTGATACACAAATATGATAGTTTAATCCTACATTTCTTATATGATCATTTCATAGGTAAATTAGGTAGTACATCTATAAAAACAATATACAATTACAAATAAATTTATATAAAACAATAAGTCTGTGAGCCAATGCTCACTAATAAAACCCCCGCTCTGATGTGAATACACAAGTTCAGTTATGGACAAACACAGTGATAGTCAGGAAATTGACTTTGGATGAGTAAAAAAGGAATCCCAACACATTGCATGCCTAAACAAATATTGTGTTAAGATTTCAAGCACCTGCGATGAGTAGTTGCTGGGAAAACTACGACCAAAACTTGTTATGTATGGTACAGAAAGATGCAGGGATAAACAGGAAGTTGACATCGGATTTGTACCAAAATGAATCCCATTATATGGCATGCCTAAACAAGATTGTGCTAAAATTTCAAGCATCTGCGATGAGTAGTTGCTGAGAAATCTACGACCAAAATTTGTTATGTATGGTACGGACAAACGCACGGATTAACAGGAAGTTTACATCAGATTCGTACAAAAATGAATCCCACCATATGGCATGCCTAAACAAAGATTGTGCTAAAATTTCAAGCATCTGCAATGAGCAGTTGCTGAGAAAACTGCGACCAAAATTAGTTATTTATGGTACGGACAGACGCACGGATTAACAGGAAATTGACATCGAATTCGTACAAAAATAAATCCCACCATATGGCATGCCTTAACAAAGATTGTGCTAAAATTTCAAGCATTCAAGCATCTGCAGTGAGTAGTTGCTGAGAAAACCGCGACCAAAATTTGTTACGGACAGACAGAAACACAGACAGCTAGACGGACAGACAGACAGACACACAAGGGTAAAACAGTATGCCCCCCTCTCCTTCGGAGCGGGGGTATAATAATAGTTTAAATTAAATGATTATTTTAAACAATTCAACATCAATGGGTTTGTATTTTGTAAAGATTAACATGTAAAATTTGCAAAAATTAAATGCATAAAACTTCTCGTCATCAAAGTTAACTTAATCCTTAAATGAAACAATCTTAGTATTCATTACTTTAATTTAATATGTGTCCGGCATAAATTAAAAAAAATATATCATTTACAATTAGAAACATAGAAACCTGATGTTAATAGACCTCCCCCCAATTTTTCTTTATTTGACCACCGTTTGTGGTATCTCTAAATCACGTGAATTAGGTGATCATTGCTGAACTATAAACATCATAATCAGGAAATGGAATGATGAAAGTTACATAAAATTTCAGTTTTAAGTGATTTTATCGTATGCCGCAAAATGACCTTATAGAAAATAATCCTTTAAGGGGGAAAGCTGGAGATATAGTAAGACTCTCCGACAAAAAACTGACTATATAATGAGACTTCCTATAGGGAATTCCAACTTAATAGCAAGTCATCAGCGGGAGGTCTCATTATAATGAAAAGCAATGAGGGACCTCTCACTATACCCGACACAATTTTCAAGAACACAAAATAAATCAAAACAAAACTGAGATTTTTATATATGATTGATTGATTGTATGTTGTTTTACGTCCCTTTCGACAATTTTTCACTCATATAGAGACGTCACCATATACCGGTGAAGGGCTTCAAATTTTGACATTTACTCGGCACTTGCGGCCATTGAGCAGTGAGGGATCTTTATCGTGCCAACGCCTGCCTGACACGGGACCTCTGTTTTTATGTCTTATCCGAAGGACCCGCAACTTTCACTTCAAAGTGCCGAGCGCATGGCAAAGGAACAGTTGCTACCCATTTTTTTTATCGACTTAGGTCAGTCGCGGCCGAGATTCGAACTCTCGACCTCCCGATATCGGAGCGAGCGCTCTACCGCTTTTATATATGTAAACAGCCTTAAAAAATCCTAAAAAGATTAATTGATTGATTGTATGTTGTTTTACGCCCCGTTCGAGAATTTTTCACTCATATACAGACGTCACCGTATACTGGTGAAGGGCTTCAAATTGAGATTTTTACTCGGCACTCAGAGTCATTGAGCAATGAGGGTTCTTTATCATGCCAACGCCTACCATGACACGGATCCTTGGTTTTTAGATCACCTGACCTGAAAACTCAAGTGAGCTTTTCTGATCACATTTTTAATGTAGCCAGTCTGTCTGTCCGTCCGTCTTTTAACTTTTCACATTTCCGACTTCTTCTCCAGAACCAATGGACTAATTTTAACCAAACTTGCCACAAAGCATCCTTGGGTGAGGGGGATTCAAGTTTATTCAAATGAAGGGCCACGCCCTCATTGAAGGGGAGATAATTCAGAAATAGTGAAAATTTGGTGGCATATCTTAAAAATCTTCTTTCCCAGAACCAATGGCCCAAAAAAGTTGAAACTTATAGGAAACCTTTGCTATATAGTGTTGATTCGAGTTTGTTCAAACCATGACCCCTGGGGGAAGGGTGGGTCTACAATGGGAGATCAAAGTTTTCTATAGGAATATATAGGGAAAAAACTTTACAAATCTTCTTCTCAAGAACAGCAAAGTCGTGATTTGTTATATTGATATAGAAGCCTCCTCAGGTATTGTAGATTCAAGTTTGTTCAAATCATGACCCCGGGGGTTGGGTGGGGTTACAATGGGTGATCAAAGTTTTACATAGAAATATATAGGAAAATATCTTTAAAAATCTCAAGAACGGAAAAGCCATGATTTGTCATATTAATATGAAAGCATCCTCAGGTATTGTAGATTCAAGTTTCTTTAAATCATGACCCCTTGGGTTAGCGTGAGGCAAAAATGGGGGATCAAAGTTTTACAATGGAATATATAGGGAAAAAAACTTTAAAAAACAATCCTCGCCCGCGTGGCGCAGTGGTTAGAGCGTTCGCTCTAGAGTCGCGGAGTAAGGAGTTGATCCTTACGTCGCGGGTTCGAACCCCACTGTGGGACGTGGAGACCGGTCCTTCGGATGAGACCGTATAAACCGAGGTCCCGTTTCGCAGTAGGTGAAAAAGATCCCTCACAAAAAAGATCCCTCACTGCTCAATGGCCCTGAGTGCCGAGTATAGGTCAAAATTTGCAGCTCTCCACCGGCAAGTGGTGGCGTCGGTTGAGTGAAAATTCTCGAGAGGGACGTTAAAACAATAATAAAAAAACAAACAAAACATGAAAATCCTCTTCTCAAGAACAGCAAAGCCTTGTTTAGTCATATTGATATGGAAGCATCCTCAAATCGTGTAGATTCAAGTTTTTTTTCAAATCATAACCCCCGGGGATAGGGTAGAGTCACAATGGGGGTTGAAAGTTTTATATAGGAATATATAGGAAAAAACTTTAAAAATCTTCTTCTCAAGAACAGCAAAGCCTTATTTAGTCTTATTGATATATGCATAGCTCTGATCCTTCGACGTATTTGGTTCCAGTATTTGGCACTTTTTCAGCTCTTCCAATTCTTTTTATTTAAATTTTGGATTCCCAACCTTTCGGCTTAAGCATGACTGAAGAGACATAATTTGTCGAAATGCACATCTGGTGCATCAGAATTGGTACCGTATATGATTTACAATATGTAAGCATCTTCAAGTAGTATAGATTCAAATTTGTTCAAATCATGACCTCAGGGGTGTAGGGTGGGGCCATAAGGGGGATCAAAGTTTTACATAGAAATATAGGAAAAAACTTTAAAAATCTTCTTCTCAAGAACAACAAAGCCTTTTTTAGTCATATTGATATGGAAGCACCCTCAAATAGTGTAGATTCAAGTTTGTTCTAATCATGACCCTCGGGGGTAGGGTATGGTCACAATGGGGGATCATAGCTTACATAGAAATATATAGGAAAAAATCCTTAAAAATCTTCTTCTCAAGAACAGCAAAGCCATGTTTAGTCATATTGAAATGGAAGCATTCTCAGGTATTGTAAATTCAAGTTGTTCAAATCTTGACCCCCGGGATGGGTTTGGGTCATAATGGGGGATCTAAGTTTTACATAGGAATATAAAGGAAAAAAATCTTTGTCTCAAGAACAGCAAAGCAATGTTCAATCATATTGATATGGAAGCATCATCGGTTAGTGTAGATTAAATTTTGTTCCTCTGATTACCTGTGGGGGTAGTGAGGGGCCACAATGGGGTATCAAATTTTTACAAAGGAATATATAGGAAAAAATCTTTAAAAATCTTCTACTCAAGAACAGCAAAGCCATTTGTTATATTGATATGGAAGCATCCTCAGGTAGTTTAAAATTCAAGCCCCCCCCCCCCCACCCCATCCCCATGTAAACTTTTCAATACTGAATTGATCTGTATTTTTTCTAGCCATTGTGTTCAGGTGAGCGATGTGGCACATGGGCCTCTTGTTAACGTTTTCATCCGAAGGACCCGCAACTTTCACTTTAAAGTGCCGAGCGCTTGGCGACAGAACAGTTCCTACCAATTTTTTTTTTTTATCGACTTAGGTCGGTCGCGGACGTGATTCGAACACACGACCTTCCGATCACGCAGCGAACGCTCTACAGACTGAACTACCAGACGGTTAATGCACGTCGACGAAATAATATCCTTCCATATGGAGAGCAAGTTCGATAGTTATTCGAATATTTTTTTAACCACTTTGTCGATAAAAACAAATACGCATAGTTATGCAGGTAACAAATAAACGTTATAATGTTTGTTAAGCACGGATAATCAAAACCCACTACCCATGTTTTTGGTTGATCAATCATATAGCGGAACCCGGGTTTATTTATAATGAATGCATAGATTCGTCATCAAGAATATTAAGTGGATTTTTGTCCTAGTTCAATGTTTTTAATTTTCACATACCATCTTCTCTCGTTTTTAGTCCTGAGGCAGAGGGGTAGATTTGCTGGATTTTCTCTTTATCTCTCAAACTCTACAAAAAAAGAAGATGGGTATATGTGCTACAAAGACGGACCGGAGTTACCTCTATTAAATTTCACAACAAACTGTATAAGATATGGTCGATATGTCATCTACTACAACGAAAGACTGAGTGGAGTGACGTATCCAGAGGGATATGAATCCATGTCCTACATTCAGTTATGTGAAGTGGTAGTGGAAGGTAAATTTAAAGACGTAATTTTAAAAACTCTTGTTATTATTCTTGTTTCTAAAGTTATGAAATATTTTTAACAGGATGCTCTAGAGGAAAGTACGGGATGAATTGTGATAAGAATTGTCCCACTAATTGTTTTGGAATTGAATGTGATATTGTCCAAGGAACATGTATGAAATGCAAGGCGGGCTGGGAGGGAAAAAAATGTCAATCATGTAAGGTGAATTTTTATTCAATACATATCAAGCATATTTCGGATATTTGTGTAGCTCTAAATGGTTTTTAAAATTATTGTTGTCAAAATAGCTTGCCCTAATGGATCATACGGTCACGAATGTAAATCCAAATGCTCAGGACATTGCAAAGATCGAACTCCATGTAACCACGTGACGGGTGAATGTGCCAGAGGCTGTAATGTGGGATGGACTGGGACTTTATGCAATAAACGTAAGACTTTAATATTTAAATAAGGAAATGACTTTCTAAAGGACGGTTACCTTTTTATCCAATTGAGTGAAGTTTTTGCATACATGAAACATCTTTAATTGCAATTTTACTAACTAAAATGTTCATTTAAAAATATATTTACATAAAAAATCATTCTGAGCAAATCTAAAAATTGCATAGATAAAACTGTGTAAGATTTTTATTTTATTCAGTCAATTAATTCTAAGTAGCATCTTCAGTTTACGTGTTTTGTTAGGCATAAGAAATATACAAGATATGAACTATATGTTTGATGTATTAATATTTCCCCTGATAATCAGAGTAAGACTTAAGTAAGATATGTAATGTAAGAGAAGAATTTTGTATCTGTTTTAAACAAACATCCATTTACATCCATTTACCATAAGAACATGAAGTAATCAAATTACAGCTTGTGATGCTGGACGTTTTGGCGTTAACTGTACTTCCTACTGCAGTGGACATTGTTTAAATGACGAATCATGTAACAAAGAAACTGGGCACTGTGACTTGGGATGTAGCGGTGGATATATTGGGGATTTGTGTAACATAGGTAAGTTTTAATAACTTCCAATATGTAAATGCTTGTTTGTGAGGTACTTACAAAAAATCATATTTTGTTATATCTTAACAACTGCAGTGGATAGGTTAAAGAAGATTGCAAATAATTATTGACAATGTAAAATACCTTCTTTTTGATACATCAGCGAACAGTTACTCACTTTTACAGAATGTACACCTGGGTGGTTTGGAAAAGAATGCAAATACCGCTGTAGTGGACACTGTGCTGAGGATGAAAGTTGTAATCACGTAGACGGGATTTGTTCTCGTGGATGTAAAGACGGTTATATTGGACATAACTGCACCACAGGTAATATATATAACCTCTCATAATCGCGTTATTTTGGAGATATGTTTACTTTTGTTTTTTTTCTTTTCTTTGATCAAATATTGAATCATAATAAAATATTTTTTAATTATTTTAAATCATAATTTAGCATGTACGGTCAACCGCTATGGTAAAAATTGCACCAGTGTCTGTTCCTCAAAATGCACTAGTACATGTGCACATACTGACGGTTCTTGTGAGTGCAGTTCTGGTTGGATGGGTTCTCCGCATTGCAACAAAAGTGAACATTTATCTATATTTACATACATCTATAAACATCTTTTTAAATACTGTTCAATGTTACTGTACATACATTTTTTTTTAAAATAAAATCAATGTGAAATACTTAGACTTCCTAAAAAATCATCGTTTTAGGTTGTCCTCTTAATAAATTTGGCAAAAACTGTGCTCATGAATGCAGTCAAAATTGTGCAAATGACATTTGTGATAGATTTAACGGTAGCTGTACTGCAGGATGCAAAGAACCGTTTCTTGGAGAAATGTGTATTCAAAGTAAGTGTATTTTCTCTTATGCTTATTGTAGAATTTTTTTTATCAAAATGCAAAAGAACATTTCGGATATTTGAAAAGACATACATGGTTTTTGAAATTACTGCTGTCAAAACAACCTGCCCCAAAGAAGCATACGGTCAAGAATGCAAGTTCCAATGCTCAGGACATTGTACATGTACATTCCATGTGACCACTTGATGGGTGAATGTGTCAATGGCTGTTTGTCGGGATTTAAGACTTCGATATTTAGATAAGTAAATTTCTTTTTAATGGACATGTACCTTTTTGGGTAATGTTTACTCAGTTGACAAAAAAAAATCATTGATAAGAATGAAAAGCCACCTACATGTACATTGTAGACCTATAGTTGTAGTGTTATTATTCACTTTCAAATAATCCGCCTTGCGCAGTGGTTAGAGAGTCTGCTCCAGAGTCACGGAGCAAAGAGTTAATCCTTACGTCGGCAGTCGCAGATTCGAATCCCACTGAGACCTGTCATTCGGATGAGACCATATAAACCGAGGTCGCGTGTCGCAGTATGGTGCTGGCACGAAAAAATTCTGTCACTGCTCAATATCCCTGAGCACTCCACCAACTATTGGTGTCTTCTCCATATAAGTGAAAAAATCTCGAAAGGGACGTTTACAAACAGAAAACAAAATACCTTCAATCTTTTTATAACACTATGACCAATATTGTCTTTAAAAACAATATACATCAGGTAACGGAACTCTGATATAAATGGAAAAGTTTTAGTAAATATAAATAAATAGTTAATGTTTGAACTATAACCTTCTATTTTTTTTTTTGTCCGAAATTCATCTTTCAAATTTCCAAATTTTGCTCATTTCTAATCAAGTATTGCAAAAATCTGAATGAAAAAAATTAAGAGTTTATAGCTTTAGTTTTCCTTTGTTGTCCTCATTATGCTTGAATTAAATTTATATTAGGTCAATGATCAAATTATCGGGATATTTTCTCTTCGATGGGTTCCCCCCCATACTTTTAAATTCTTTATTGCATGCCATTCATTTTTTTAAAATAATACATAAGCTTTAACTCTCATAATGCATGCATAATTGTGTTGAAAACACATTGAATCTTAATTTAATATAAATACTGTAAAAAAAAAAGAATTTTGTGAAAATATTACCACCATAAATTAACTTTTGGACTTGCATCTTTGCTTCGAATAATAAAATATATTTTTTTTTTCAAAATAGATAATGAATTATAACATAGATATTTTATCCATTTAGAACAATTTCTGATCAACATTCTTGTCGCCCGCGTGGCGCAGTGGTTAGAGCGTCTGATCTAGAGTCGCGGAGTAAGGAGCTGATTCTTGAATTACGTCGCAGGTTCGTACACATGTATCCATTGCGGGACGTGGAGACCGGTCCTTCGGATGAGACCGTATAAACCGAGGACCGGTGTCGCAGTAGGTGCTGACACGAAAAAGATCCCTCGCTGCTCAATAGCCTTGAGTGCTGAATATAGGTCAAAATTTGTAGCCCCCCACCGGCAAGTGATGGCGTCTCCATATGGGTGAAAAATTCTCGAGATGGACGTTAAACAACAAACAATCAATTAATCAATTAACATTCTTATTTCATAGCATTCCATTTCTGTCAACTTAAACCCTGAGTAAACGTCATCTTGAAACCAATTGGATTTGATGGAGTTTATTCATACTTGAAACATCATTATTTGAAATTTGACATTGCTATATATAATACTCATTAGTAAAAAAAAAAAAAAAAAAACAGATAAAACAAAAGTAAAACATTCTCAGCGATTTGATAAATTGCATCGGTGAACTGTGAAAATCTTGCAGTCAGTCGATTAATTCTTACTGTTCAATGGTATTTGAAATACATACTAGCATAGTGTCATGTGAAAAACTTTACTGCATGCATTTTCCTAAGCATGATAAAGGGCCATTCTTTATTTATTTTACGTTTAATTTACATTAAATTCACAAGACGTTTGGTTATAAAAATCTACCGAGTATGAACTATTTTTGAAGGTTTTTTTTTTTTTTTTTTTTTTTTTGTTTGTTTTGTTTTGTTTTGTTTTTTTAAGTGATAAGAGTAATGTAAGGGACGTAATTTAAGAAAATGAATTCTTCACCTTTTAGACAAATTAGACAAATACATGTATGTCAAAACAAAGTAACGTTATCTATTGACCACTGATCATCTAATTAAAGCTCGTGACAATGGAAGTTTTTGCATAAATCGTTCTTTTTTGAATACCAACATATTTTACCTTTTAACCTTGATCTAGGAGTTTGACCCACTTTTGTAAATATTTACGAAACTTTAACCTTGGCCTTAAATTCATTGAGTCATGACCTTTCCTTGGGTATAATTATTTTTGACCTTGACATTAGAGATTGACCCACTTTCTCAAAATTTAACCTTTTGAACAGTAAGTACTTGGGCTTTTACATTTCACAGGTGTATTCTCTTTGATAAGACCTTCGTTTGGATACCAACAAATTTTACTTTGGAGTTTGACCTACTTTTGAAAAACTTTAACCTTAGCTATAATCTTTGAACTGTTAGTGCAAGGGTTTTTGTATATCATATGTGAATTTCTTGTGACTAGGCCTTCCCCTGGGTATTGTTAATTTTGCACCCTTGACCCTGACCTTGGAGTAAGACTAACTTTTAAAAATAAATTAACCTTTGTCGCAACTTCAAAACGATGCTTGGGCTTTCATATTTTACAGGTATATTCATCGAAAAAAAGTCTGATTTTTTAACAACAATTTTGATTTCTTAACCTTGATCTTGGAGTTTGACTTGCATTTGAGAAACTTTAACCACCGCTACAAGCTCATAAACGGGGGCATCAGTGTTTCATAAAACGCATCCTGTTTATTTTATCAAATATTGAATACATGTAATAAGGAAAAAAAAAATATTCCGTATTTTAGCGTGTACATTCAACCATTACGGTAAAAATTGCTCCAGTATCTGCTCTTCAAAATGCACGAGTAAATGTAGACATACATACGGTTTTTGTATACGCATTTCTGGTTGGATGGATTCTTCGTATTGTAATAAAACTGAATATAAATCATATTTAAACTGGTTCACCTAAATCTATTTTAAAATGACATATCGTTATGAAATGAAAGTGAAATGCTTAGGATGCATAATACATTGTTTTATGGAGTCTACCCAACATGTATGGCAAAAATTGTCCTCACTCTTGCAGACCAAATTGTCCAAATGACTCTGGTGATAGATTCAATGGAAGTTGTCTTGCAGGATGCTAGGAATTATTTTATGGAAACTTGTGTAATCTTGGTAAATAAATGAATTTAAAATTTCCTTTTGAAAAAATTGCATACTGTAAAATTACAAATTTCTAGGGGTTAAGGTTATTATTTTTTTTTTATTTTGGATGTATGGAGAGACCCTTGTATTCCTAAACACAAAAATAAATCCCAATAAACCAATATTTAACCCTCAAACTTCGAAAATTTAACCCCACTCATGGATGACTTAAAGTAAATTATGTTCAAATTTTAAAGTTTAAGCAAGTGAAAAAAAAGTTTCTAGAAACAAGAACACTGTAGAATAATTTTACACCTAAAGCAGTGCACAAGTACTTTAGAAAAATGCATCATGCATGGTTTGATTTAGAATGAAAACAAGAAAACAAAAAGAAAATATGTACATGTACTTCCTTCTGCATTGAATACTACACAATAAAGTTTGTAAAAATGCCTCCCATTCAATTTCAATTTTTTCACTAAGATGGTATTAAATAATCCCTATCTGTGATAAATATAATATTAATAAAAGATTACTGTAGACCATAAAATGCTAGTGTAAATTGTTCCTTATGCGACTTGCTTGCTGACGATAAGATAACTAGCTAGGTACATGATGAAAGTTTTCATAAGTCCTGAAAAATGTGATAGCTAGATCATATACGCACTATAAAATGTGTCTCAGTGTCTTATGGTTTCTACTTCCAACCTTCCAACTTCCAAGACTATTAACTGAGAAAAAACAAAATTTGGACATATGAAGTATGTTCTCATTTTATAGACTTGTTTACATGGGCAGCTAAGTTAGCATACAAATATTTTTTTGTTAAATTTTGCTATATCAATGGCAGAAAAGTCTAAATAACTTTCTAACTAATTATCGTTGTTTTGTTTCGGGGAGAGGGGATGTTTTTTCATATTTTTTTGTATTTCTTATAACAACAATAAATATTTGTGGATTGAGCATATCACCAATGAAGAAAAATAATCACTGTTATCTATCATCAGTTTACTACATTGCAAGAAAAAGAAGAAAATGCCAACAAATTATTTCGGTCTAACATTCATATATCCAAATAAATCTACTGGTTCCCCTTTTGTATGTAAATTAGAAATGTGAAAATGGAGTCTAAAGTGATATCTGTTTTCTATGCTTATGCAAAACTAAAATGAGTTGAATCATAAGCGTAGGAAAAATATCTTTTCTTAATTAAACATACTTTTAATACGACATCTTTCTTAAAGATTCTATCATAGAAAATATTTGAGAAAGAAATTAAAAAATTTTGTCTTATTATCATTACATTTTAATTTTCTGTTTAAAGGCCAAAAAGGATCAGCGTCGGAAATTTCAGCAACAACCTGTTTCCCATGGATATGGATAGTGGTATTTGTAATATCAATCACACTCAATATATTTGCTTGTGTTGCCTGTGTATTTTCAAAAAGGTAAATTTAAGACTTTAAAATTTTTTATCTACCTTGTCGTTAATCAATATATATCGATATATAGGTATCAAGGCCATAAGCTAAATTTAAATATAAAAAAAAAAACTCATTAATATCGAATTTAACATTACCTAGTGATGATGTTGCAATTTACCTTCACTGTCAGCTGAATTATTTCAAGATTAAATACTGTCGATTATTAAGCTCCCTCTCAAAGCCTTTCAAAAGCCTATAACTCAGATTAATTGTTAAGAAATACAGCATTAACGAATATGAATAAAGAATTCATCACTGGCTATTTCTACATTTATACTCCCCTATCGGTGAAACCGGAGGGGACTATAGGTCTCCTCTTCGTCTGTCCGTCCGTTTAGCTGTCCCTTTGTCTGTCTGTCAGTCTATCCCACTTGGTTTTCCGCACTTTTTAGTTCACCTGAGCCGAAAGCTCAAGTAAGCTTTTCTGATCACATTTTGTCTGTAGTCCGTCCTTCCGTCCGTTTGCTGTAAATTTTTCACATTTTCAACTTCTTCTCCAGAACCACTGGGCCAATGTTAACCAAACATGTCACAAAGCATCCTTGGGTGCAGGGGATTCAAGGTTTTTAGATGAAGGGCCACGCCCTCATTCAAGGGGAGATAACTCAGATACATGTATAGTGAAAATATGGTGGCATGTTTTAAAAATCTTCTTCTCAAGAACCATTGGGATAAAAAAGTTGAAACTTATAGGAAAGCTTTTTTACATAGTGTAAATTCAAGTTTGTTCATTTGATGACCCCTGGGGGTAGGATGGGGCCACAATGGGGGATCAAAGTTTTACATAGGAATATATTGGAAAAAATCTTTAAAAATCTTCTTCTCAAGAACAGCAAAGCCATGATTAGTCATACTAATACGGAAGGATCCTCAGGTAGAGTAGATTCAAGTTTGTTCAAATCATGACCCCCGAGGATAGGGTGGGGCCACAATTGGGGATCACAGTTTTACATAGGAATATATAGGGAAAAAACTTCAAAAATCTTCTTCTCAAGAAAGCAAAGCCTTATTTAGTCATATTGATATGTAAGCATTATCAGGTAGTGTAGATTCAAGTTTGTTTAAATCATGACCCCCGGGGTTAGGATGGAGCCACAATGGGGATCAAAGTTTTACATAGGTATATATAGGAAAACGATTTAAAAATCTTCTTCTCAAGAACAGAAAAGCCATTTGTTATATTGATATGGAAGCATCCTCAGGTAGTTTAATCCCCCCCCCCCTCTGTAAACATTTTAATATTGAACTGATTCATGCTTTTTCCTAGCCAATATGCTCATGTTAGCGATGTGGCCCATGGGCCTCTTTGTTTTCCTTATGCTTTTGAGAATTGATATGAAACTTGCTGGATACCTTTATAGTAACACACTACAGATCAAGTTTGAATTTTGTCACTTTTGACCAGCAGGTGCTAGAGAAAATCAGTTTTAAGCATTCTTTTTTATAATCGGGTCCAAGATCGGATTCGTTCTGCACTAAATTAATGTTCCAAAAACGAGATGTTCAGGTTACAAATTTTGAAAGAAGACGGTTAATGATATTTTGCATTGTTTTGGACAAGTTCTACCAGCAAATACGTAATTTAGTTGGCGAAATAACACGAGATGCAATAAAGAATGAATAATTTTTTTCCGATCTGAATTTGGTCTTCTTTTTTTTTTGGTATGTGTTTGAGTTAGGAATAACGGGTAACATTTTTCATACGTAAACAGTCGTATTTACCGACAGTCGTGTCATTCATACATAGTGATTTTACGGTCAAAGGGTTCAAAAACACCCCAATCCCTCGTGCGTTCACTGTTGCAGGAAGCCGTTTATTTTCTATTCTACAGTTTTCAACAGATGTTTTCAATGGTGTCTGGTCAATTCACACCTTGTTTATTTTGGACCATTGCATAAGTGCCCCACGACTATTATTGTGATATTATGTCAACAATTCAAAAGAATTTATAAAATTGTTTTTTAAATCATGTAAAATGAGCTGTTCTGATCAAAGCATGCATGTATGTCTAATGGCAATCAAACACGTCTTTGTAAGGCAAACTTTATTCCAAGACATTTCATTCATAAACGTGTCCAACCCTTTGAAAATGATAAATTGAAAATGATACTTTATTCTTTAAATATCAATATAATACCTCGCATTTACCATAGAAAGTGATAAAAAATCATTGTTCACATATGATGTCTTCAGCATGCAAATAATGCATAAAATTTGACATTTTCTTTAACGTGGATAATTAATTTTAATATCAATTTCATTTGAAATTATTTCCTTATTTCTTGCGCTTTACGGCTATAAAAACTGGGATAAATCCCCTATCATATTGAACTAATACTATCTTAAAAGAAAGAAAAAAATATGTATTGTAAATATGAATGAAATAAAAGATTTCATCTTTGTAACATTTTTTGTGATATTTATCAGTTTCTAAATTCATGATTTTAGGAAACACATCGCACAGATCTGGAACGAAAAGAGGAAGGCCTCGGAGGTGTACATGAGCAGAATCCAAAACAGCTCAGCACAGCCCGATGATGTACATAACTATCAAGAGCTTGATTTACCTGTAACGAAAAAAATTATATTAATTTCGAATTAAAATGACTAAGTGTGTAAATATTTTTATGATGGTGAATTCTAAAAACTGGCTGCTTCCATTCTTTTCCACTGAAAATGTGTCGTTCCTACGACTCATTACTTCGTTTGCACAGCATATTCTGTTTTTACTCTGAATAGTAAATTGATTGCTAGACGAGTTTTTTAGCTCACCTGAGCCGAAGGCTCAAGTGAGCTTTCCTGATCAAAATTTTCCGTTGTCTCTCGTCGTTGGCATTGTCGTTAATTTTTCACAATTTCATTGTCTTCTCCAGAACCACTGGGCCAATTTCAACCAAACTTCTCATAGAGCATCCTTGGGTTAATGGGATTTAAGTTTGTACAAATGAAGGGCAATGCCCTCTTCCAAACGGAGAGAATTGCAAAATAGTGAAAAATTAATGGCATCTTTTAAAAATCTTCTTCTCGAGAACCAATGGGCCAGGAAAAACAAAACAAATGTGGAATTATTATCAGGTAGTGTAGATTCAAATTTGTTCAAATCATGACCCCCAGGGGTAGGGTGGAGCAACAATGGACGATCAAAGTTTTACAAAGGAATATATAGAAAAAATCTTTAAAAATCTTCTTCTCTAGAACAGCAAAGCTATGATTGGTCATATTTAGATGGAAGCATCCTCAGCTGCAGGTAGTGTAGATTCAATTTTGTTCAAATCATGTCCACCCCCAGGGGTAAGGTGGGGCCACAATGGAAGATTAAAGTTTTACATAGGAATATATATAAAAAAATCTTTAAAAATCTTCTTCCCTAGAACAGCAAAGCCATGATTGCTCATATTTATATGGAAGCATCCTCAGGTAGTGTAGATTCAATTTTGTTCAAATCATATCCACCCCCAGATGTCCAACCCAAGGGGTAAGGTGGGGCCACAATAGAAGATTAAAGTTTTACATAGGAATATATAGAAAAAATCTTTAAAAATCTTCTTCTCAAGAACAACAAAGTTATGATTAGTCATATTATGTGGAAGCAACCTCAGGTGGTGTTGATTCAAGTTTGTTCAAATCAAGACCCCCGGGGGTAAGGGGGGGGGGTCACAATGGACGATTAAAGGTTTACATAGGCGTATATAGGAAAAAGATTTAAAAATCTTCTTCTCAAGAACAGCAAAGCCATGATTGCTCATATTTATATGGAAGCAAACTTAGTTATTGTAGATTCGATTCAATTTTGTTCAAATCATGAACCCTCTCCCCGCCCTGTTTTAGGGGTAGTTCGGGACTACTTATGCATTTAAGCTTTTCAATGCTGAACTGATCTTCGCTTTTTTCCTAACCACATTGCTCAGGTGAGCGATGTGGCCCACGGGTCTTTTGTTTTTATTTCTGTGATCAATATTTAGCAACAATTATTTTTTCTTCTCTAATGACATTTCACGTTGCAAATTTTATTTTAAAAATATGCCAAAAGAATGTTTTGTTTGACAAAAAAATGTATCAGAAAGGACAAAATGTTAAAAGAATAAGCTAGCTTTAGATTCTATATTACATTGATTTGACTCTTAGAAATATGATAATCAGTGTACTGTTATACTAAAACATTTGCCATCCAGAGTTTTGTTTTGTTTTTGTTTTTTTTTTAAATATTTGAAATAATGAATTCCCCCCCCCTCCCCCCCCAAAAAAAGATAAATTTGCTTTTGGATAGCTTTATGTTTGAGTACTGGGTAAAGGTGTAATATCCCTCTGATAAGAGAGATAACTTTCAAAGGAAATTACCCCTAAACAATCCCATGAAGTGTCTTACCTGAATTTAATAATGAGGACCATTTTAAAGTTAACTCATTCAAAACTGGACTATGTTACGAATATTGATTTCTATTTTCTATTGCCAATATTTTTATTAATAGTTTACCGAAATTATTTATACTCAGTGCCTTTAGGCTGTTAGAATTGAGATATTTCTATCTCTTGTCATATAATCCTTTTATTGTTACAGAAATGTTAGATGCAGGATTTTTATGATCAATAAATTAATATTATTTCACTAAAAATATCTTGAAGAACGATTACCCTGTAGATGAAAAGATAAGTCTTGTAGATGGATGCATTTTTATTTTGCAAGCACAGAAAACAATGTGATATTCTGATTTGAAAAAACAACGCTTCAGTATGTTTTCTAATGTGAATTCAATAGGTATGATAGTAAATATTATTTGCTTACATACCTCATATTTTTAATTTTATGGTGAGATAAAAAAAAATATTGATCTTTCTATTCATCATATGAAATTAAATTTACTTCATATCATGATTAGATATAATATCCATTTCTGAAAA